TGTATTCATGAGAAGGCATATGTCGGAAATTTAATTCTCAGTGCAACAGTGCAACAGGTAGGGTCTAAGTGGATGTGTTTAGGCCATGAGGGCTCCATATTTGAGAACAGGTTAAAGCTGATTGAGAAAGGGTCTATGGCTTTGAATTGATTCCCTTATTTTTTCTTACCTTCTATTTGTCCTGCCATGGCATGATGTAGTGGCCCTCACCAGATGTCAGCCCTTTGATCTCGGAAATTCCCCTCTCCAGAACCAACAACCAATATTTTTTGTTATTATAAATTACCCAGTTTCAAGTATTCTGTTGCAGCAGCACAAAAGGACTTAGGGATGTATTAACTTTTCATCCTTCACCATTAAATCATTTAGTTAAGTATTGTGAGTAATGAGAAGGACAAGACTATGTTTGGGATGATGGAAGAATCAAAACTGTAAGACTGTAAGGCACTGACTATATTTGTGACAGGTCAAACTAATCAAGAGAAGGAAAGGAGAAGAACTAGGAAACATGACAATGTCAAGCCATACAGTTATATGTAGGAGATGAGCAAGGCAATGATCCTGAGAATCTTCAGAAGATTTTTTAATCTAGCAGTTAATTGGAAAAATTCTCATCCTAAATTTTAATATGTAAATCAATTTCCTGGAAATTTAGTTCGAGTTCAGACTGTTGTCCAGGAGTTTGAGATGGGACCTGGGTTTCTGCCTAACAACTCCTAAGCAGATAGCTTGTAGCTTTTATTTATTATTTTCAAGTTACAACTCTGTAGTATAAATATTGGCATTTTATAGATAAGAAAATCCTCTGAGAAGTTGAAAAAGTTACCCAGAATCACAGAGTATGCAGAACCAGGATTTGAACACAATTCATTATAATTCTGAAAGGTGGGATCTTTGCATTCTCCAACATCTGGATAGCTGAAATATGTGGAGGACAGTGGGGATAGGGGAAAAAATGTTTTCCAGCATCAAAATTGCTACACAGAACATATTTGGTTCTAAGCTTTGAAGTTGTTTTGGAGAACTAATCAGCTCCTTTGCCTTCCAGGGAGCTGAAAGTAAGGTGTTGCTCAACTAGCATGTAGAAGTATGATGATACTTATAGACAGAACCCAAGATCAGAGGAGATATATCAGGCTAATCAGTCTAGAGTCTAGAAAAGGACTGTATACTGCCAAGGTCCACCCATGAATTTATCCCTATTGTTGAATCTTCCTGCATTTTAAATGATGGGTTACACTAATTGTGATGTTGCTATTGAATAATGCTATAGTTTGGATATGGCATTAGTTTGTCCCATAAGAGTTCATGTACTTGGAACCTGGTGTCCAGTGTGGCAATATTAAGAGTAGAACCTAGTGGGAGTTCCATAGATCACTGGGAGCACTCATTCAGAAAGGTTATGTTAGTTTTTGTGGGACCCCAAAACAGTTTTAGTGAGACCAACTTGTAAAGAAAAAAATGTGAATCTGACAACTGAATTGATCTTTAGCTTTTTGTGCAGCAATAGAATTGCTCCTTCTTGCATATATGCCTTTCAGTGTGTTGTTATCCACTATAAGTTCTCACCAGAGCTGAGCTTATGCTAGCATCATGTGCTGGCACCTCCAAAATAGTGAGTTAACTTCATTTGTTTATAAATATTTTGAGGCTCAGGTGTTTTATCATAGAAACAGAAAGATGGACCAATACAACTAACCATAGAGAAATAGATGTACCAGTGAACTGAAGGACAGGCATTGCAGTTTTGAAGTTTTTCTCACAGAAAAACAAACACGTTTCCATCTTGCAGTAACAACAGAAATATCTGTGGCATAAACTCTGTGGCCCCTATTCAGGGAGCTCTTGGAATAGATGTCTAAAAGCTATTCCCCTAAAAAGTCTACTGTAGACCTGGCTACTTTCCTGGGGATGACAAATGATAAAGTATGAATACCATTCCCAAGAGGTCAGGGTAAGAGTTTAGGAATGTGCATAAGTCTCTGGTCATATGAATATTTAAGAAATACAATAGATAGGTGACCAAAGGGTCGGGGAGATGGCTCAGGAGAACAAGCACTTGCCTGGAAAGCACAAGGGCCTGGGTTCAATTCCTGGTTCTGCCAAAAAAAAATAGGTGACAAAACTTTTCAGCAGAATATTAGGGGATTTTCATTATCTGAGTCAAAACATGTGAGACAATGGGCATTTGAGATAAATATATACTTCTCAGAGGAAGAAATACAAGAGGCAAATAAATACATGAAAAAACACTCCACATCACTGGTTATCCGAGAAATGCAAGTTAAAACAACACTGACATGCCAGGTACCCTTTTCCCCTGCTGGTGGGAATGTAGACTGGTGCAACCATTATGGAAATCAGTGTGGAGACTCCTTAAAAAAACTAGGACTGGGAATCCCATTCAATCCAGCTCTCCCCCTACTGGGAATTTTCCCAAAAGAACTGAAAACATCACATCATAGTGATATATGTGCAGCTATGTTTATAGCAGCACAATTTGCTATAGCCGAATCTGGGAAGCAACCAAAATGCCTGTCACCTGAGGAATGGATGAAAAAGATGCGGTGTTTTTATATGACGGAATATACTCAGCTGTAAAACAACAAACTCAAAGGCTTCATAGGTATGTGGATTCAACTTGAAACTATACTCATAGGTGAAATAAACCAGACTGGCCTGCGTAAATATCGTATTGTTTCCTTAGTGTAAGAACTCAGAAGAAGAAATAAAAACTGAAAGATATAATAGACACAGTTAAATGTAAAGTAACAGAACTTAAGGATTAGACAATGAAGAGAGAGAAAGGAGAAAAGGTAGGAAATAAGGTAGGGGCAAAACCATACATGTATATATACAAGATGGCTAAGGCAACTGTCCTAAGAATTTCCATGCATGTATTGAAAATAGCAGTTAATGGGTAAAATTCTCACCTTGACTAATTCTATATGCTGATATCTGTGAACTAAGCAACTACATTGAGAACACCAATGTGTAATACTAAAACCATGCTTGAAATACCTGTCATCTTGGTCTTCTAAATGTGTACCATTTCTAATGTCATATTAATTATTACTATACTCTCTTTAAATTTTTTTAAAAAGGTAATAAAGGACAACAAGAACAAAAATTTAAGTTTCTTTGAAAGCATGTGCTAATATGCAATCATATGTCCCATCTTGCATAGCTATACTGTTAATCTGAGCAACAGATTTGATGATAAAAATAGATAATATATCATCATTAATCAGATATTCTTGTTTTGAAAATCTGTAATGTATGTCTTGTTATGTTACCCAGTTTTTGTCATTGTTTTTGTTTTTCTTGCTCTTGTTTTTACTCTTCAAAATAAAAGAAAATTATAACAATAAAAAATAGCAAAAAATACCATGTGAGACAATTATTTTTGTCCTTAGCACCTTTTATTGAAGTATGTCCCTTGATGACAATTTGGCAAGCATATCTATGTCAGCCAAGAAGGGAATGGTGGAGGACACAAATACAGAAAAAATAAGATTCAGAAAAAATAATAGCTTTACATGGGATAGATGACCCCCCACAGTTGTACAACAAACACTGATTCTTTATCTACACAAACTGTCCCTGTTCCCCCCTTAAAGATCTACTAATCTTCAAATAATATAACATGCTGTTATAGAAATACCATTGGCATAGACAACTCTGGCAAAGACAATGGGAGCTGCCAAAGTTCTAGATGGGTGGTTGAGTTACCAAAAATCACCCAGCTTCTTCCATTTGGGACCTGCTACTGGCAGAGTAGCACCTTTAGGGAGGGTGCAGCTCAGAATGTGACTCTAGTAACCCTGGGCAACTTTTCTTGGGGCACATTTAACATGAGGTTAAATAGAAAATAGAATCTGAACCTAATCTTGGAAAAAAGCTTTGCGGGGCCAGAGAGACAGCTCAGTGGACTAAGCACCTGCTTAGGCAAATGCAGAGACTGGGGCTCAATCCCAGGCACCACATTCTGTGCTGGCCCCACCACTGGGCACACTGAGCTGGCAACCAAGACCTGGTGTGGTGGCGTACGCCTGTAATCCCAGTGCTGGGGAGGCTGAAAGCAGCAGGTTCATTATGAGTCTGAGCTGCATAATGAGACCCTGTACTAAATACACACACCAAAAAAAGAAAATAAAAAAGGCTTTGCATCTTTTCACCCTCATGCCTTTTCTCTGCTTCTAAGCTCTTCCTTTCTAGGACTTTTATTTTTAGTGTCATTGTTTCATTATCTTGGATTCCCCTTGTGCATTTATTTCTATATCCTTGTTGAGTCACTGGATGTGGGACTCAGGGCCACTCAATTATTCAGAGTCTTAGGTATGAGGGAAGTAGGAGCAGACATGTGACAGGAACCCTTGTATTGACTCCTATCTATCGACCACTGCGCCTACCTCTTACCTTATGAGACCTCTATAACTATTTGAAGGAAGAGTACATGTTAAGACCAGTAACTGTCTTTGGTAAGGTCTATGGACCTGTCTTTCAAACTTCTACCCCCTCAAAAGCCTTGGAAGAGGGATAGACCAGAAATTGAGTATAGGGGAGAAAGAAGTAGTTCCAGAAACTTTGTACAGCAGTTCACCTTTGTTTACAAGGTATCACTGCTCAGTATAGTTTGGGGGTTAAATTTTTAAGAGGTTTGGAAACTGTCTTTCTATGTGAAAATCAGTATCTTTGTATCCTGATTCCAATTATGGAAACTAATTTGAAGTGAGATGAGGGACAATAATGACAGTTCATCGTATTTTGGTATCACATACCTTAGGTATAACTAGTTTAACATGGCTTAGGAAAATCCAGACTGTGATCATAGTACCCAGGTAAATGATCATTCTTTTCCACATCCCCATATTCTCTAAAATTTATTCTGCTTTTTAAAAAGTTAGAATGCTGGAATGCATTGGCCTCATGCGCCCTCCAGTATAAGACATTTCAACCTGCTTTTTGTTTGTTTCTAAAGCATGTTTTTAAAATGATAGCAACTATGACATTTATTCAAAGCCCATCTCCCACCTCTTTAATCTTCAGTTAGGTAAACACGACCATTAAGCCGTCATCCTTCCTGAGAAGGACAGAATTTTCCACTGGAGGGCAGAATGGCAAGACTGACACTAACAGTGCTTCTTGCCACTGGCAGCAGTACTAAGCATAGCCAGGGCCCCACATAAAGGGTCTCCCCCCACCCCACTCTTCTGGCTAAGATTCTCCCATTGTTTTCACATACAGTGAAAAGGAAATGGAAGACAGTGACTAATCATTGTAGCAGCAGCAAAGTTCCTTGGTGATTTCTTTGGTTGAATGAGGTACCTCCATTACTACAGTTAACCTCCAAGCAGAAGAGATGTCAGGACTTTGCTAAGCTGGGCTTAGGTGGGCTGTGTAAGATGAAAGGTTGACATCAGTCAGCAAGTTACAGAGAATTGAGCCAGGCAATGGGGTAGGATTTGGTTAGAATTCCTGTCCTGCCATTGCCCAACTGAGGAGGATACAATCTGGTTACCAGTCAGGGCCTGGGCAAGAACAGTAGCTTGGATTCTTTGTATAGTAGTCTCCCCTTATCTGCAACTCCACTTTGTGCAATTTCAGTTATCTGTGGTCAACCATGGTCCAAAATGAATACATGAAAAATTTCAGGCATAAACAACTCATAAGCGTTAAATTATGTGCCATTCTGAGTAGCATGATGAAATCTAGTTCCATTCTGCTCCATCCCATCTGAGACATGAATCTTCCCTTTGTCCAGTGTATCCAAATCATGTAGGTTACCCACCCTTTTGTTACTTAGTAGGAATCTCAGTTATCAGATTGGCTGTTGAAGTATTGCAGAGGACAGTGCTTGTGTCCAAGTAACCCTATGTTTACTTAATAATAACCCCAAAGCACAAGAGTAGTAAACCAAAAGAAAAACCAGAACATAGAACATGGGAATGCAGATTAACTCCAGATATATGTGGCATTGCTACAGATCATGTAAGAAAAGGCACAGTGTATATATGTTTTCTGGTGTCCCCCTGAGGGTCTTGAAACATATCCTTCAAGCTAAGGCGGGGGATGCTGTATGCCAAAATGAAGGCTGGATCATAGTTTCCCTGGGGAGCTGGTCCTGGTTATGGCTCCCAGCTCCCAAAGGTCTGTTTCCCTGAGCCAGGCCATAGTCTGTAAAGCAGTTATTAGAGAAGTGTGTCCTGAATATATCTCCACTCACTTGTGGCCTGGAGTCATTAGGAAATAGGTGACTTATGTCAGTTTCAGGAGATTTCTTTGGCTTAAAAAAAGTTTAACACTGCTGTGGAATAGTAACCTCACAGTCATCCAGATTTTAAGAGAAACAAGCAGCCTGGCCAATAGGGAAGCTATAAACTCAAGGGGAGAAAACCTTTCTTCAGCACTTGTAGCTCTAGTGGAAAGGCCTGAATGCTTCAGCACATGCCTACCTAGCCATGGAGGATTCAGGCTGATCAGCAAAAATTGCTTTCCTTGGTTAACTTTTCCCTCTCCAACTTTCCTCTTCTCATCTTCCTACTTAAAAAGGAAAAAAAATCAATCAAAACATTAAAATAAATAAAATTAAGAGGCCATTTAAAATATAATAACTTCCCCACGAATAATGAAATCTATATCCTGAAGTCAGCAATAGCAGAGTTATTAAGGGCCCATAGTGTGAAGCACTGGGGTGGGTATCTTTAACTCCCAACAATGCACGAGCCAGATGAACTAAAGGTGGCAGACCCAAAGTCTTAGCAGAGGAGGAGGCCACACTAGCCAAGGCTGAAAGCAGGTTTCTTTCCTGTCAACTAGCTACTGGGGAAAGTAGAAGTTGAACCAACTTGTTTAAGCCTGGCTTTTTCCTGAGAGTCACCTGGAGATACCCAGCCTTCACTCACATTCTCTGGTGTGTAATACTTCTTTTGTGCTTCCCACTGCAAAGTTTAAGTGAGTTCCTGAAATTGGTGGTAAATGAATGCCCTCAAGACAGCGAGATCTCCACAGCAAATGGCTGGGCCACAAGCCCTGGAGTAGAAAGGAGCTGATCGTTTCTCTGATTCTTAATTATGGTGTGGGTGGGTTGAGAGTTCAAGATGTCTTTGGTATCCTAGTATAACGAAGAAAAAGGGCAGTTTTTTGGTTCTTTGGGCAGAGGATGCTTGCCCATATGCACTATAGGAAGGAGAGCACACTTGCACAATCACACCTTGCTGTAACTACCTAAGGTAGAAGCTTGGTACCTCCTAAGGGTATTCTTGCTGGTTGGAACCACTGCTAGGGAAGTAGAAATGAGAGACATCCAGGGAAATAGGGCTGGAAAAACTGCTAATTGCTGTCTACTTGCCAGCAAACTTCTACTAAAGATGAAAGCAATTCTCACTGTTGCTGGTCAGGGATGGTGTATGGACTGCTGGTGATTTAGAAATTGCTGGGCCCCAGGAATAGGCTTTCCCTGAGACATTTGAGCTGCTCTTCTCCAAGCTTGATCTTTTCCTCCAATTCTCTCTGTTCAATGATGAGAGCAGATTTCATCTTGACAAAGTGCTGGTAATCCTGGAGCTGGTCCTGAGGCAGGTAGCGGGAGACCATGTCAAACACCAACTTCTCCCGACGATCCACATGCTCCTTTAGCTCCTTGGCATCTGCCAATTGGCCTGTCAGCTGCTGCTTCTTCTCCATCAGCACCAACTGGGGAAACAGTGGAGTGATTAATGACCATACTGATTACTAGGCATATGCTTAGCACTGTCTCAACAGGTAGGCAGGCCCATTCTGCTAACTGATTAGTCCTAGATGTCCTGTTGTAAAATATACCTCCTTGGGAAAAGCCTTTCTTGCAGTTGAGGAAGCATAAATTTGACCACATTTCTATGCAAAGGGAAGTGCCATCTCCTTCCTCCATCTCTAAGGTTGCCTGCCTTTCCTCTGTGGACCACTACTGGGTTTGGTATGCAGCTAGTTTTGCCGCTTTAATCTGGGAAACAACAATAAATGTGACCATGTTTTCCATGTGGTATGTGTTTCTGTGGAAGTGGACATGTGTGAGAGTATGTATCTGTGTACATATATACATATGCAGATGTGACTCTTATTGTGGACTCAAAGCTATTTCTATAGGGAAATGTAAGGCAGTTTGGTTCAGGATGGATGCAGCACGAGCCAGTCTGTGAAACTGAGTGTTCCCATGAAACATTTCATCTCAGCTCTAGAGAGAGTGAGGCAAAACTGCTGCTGCTGCTGCTGCTGCTGCTGCTGCTGCTGCTGCTGCCACTATCACCTCCACCACCACCACCACCACCACCATTATACTGGCAGCTAGCAGTGATTCAGTACTTACCCTCTTCTAGGTCCTGTTCTTGTTTCTATAACTCGGGATGGAACTCAAGGCCCTGTGTGTGCTAGGCAATGCTCTACTACGGAGCTACGACCTCAAAGCTGGGCCCTGTTTTAAGTAATACACGTGGTTTATCACTTTATTCCTTTATTCCTACTGCCCATGAGGCAGGTAGTTTGCCCATCTCATTTTACAGATGAAGAGATTAAGATAGTGTAATGTTAAGTAAGTTGCCCATAGTCACACAGCTAATAAATAGTAGAGCCAGAATTTCAGGGTACCTGGAAGCGAATATTCACACTCAGCACTATGCTCTTCTGCCTTGCACTATAGCCCAACCTTAAAGAAAGAGTCTTGAGAAATAAAATAGATGGCAATACCCTCCATCCACACTCATGGAGAACACAACTCTACCTTTTCCTGGTTGGCCTCCGAGGCGATGCTGTTAAGAGCATTCTCCACCCGTGCCAGTCGTCCAGAGAGTGACAACAACAGGTTAACCACTTTATCCAGATCCCCAACAAACAAGCGATATTTTTCAAATTCATTGGATTTGCAGACGGCTTTTAAATTAGTCTCCACCTCCTCTCCAAGAGCCGAATTGGCACTGATGTCCTCCAACAGCCCTCGCTGGGCCTCCTTTAGGACACAAAGTTTTCGACCAATGCTTTCAATAAGCTGTATCTAGGAAAGTTAAATAAGGGAAGGAAAAGAATGAGCATGGAGACCAACAGAAAATGATTAATAGCTCCAACTTGTGTTTTGGGATCCAAGTAACAGATGGTAGGCTCTACCCTATTCATTGGAAACAGGAATCCTTTGAGGTTGTGAACAATTCCAATTTGGGGCAGGTACCTTTTCTCCTTGTTTAACAGTCATGTCCATATCACCACAAAACTTTCTGTAATTAGATAAATAGGCTAAGTCTTACTTGACAAATGCAATTGAGTACTTGCTAAGACTATATAATAAATTGGGACTAGAGTTCTTCTGAGATCCTAGGTTGGAAAAACATTTGTTATTAAACACGTTATCACTTTATTCATTTTCATTTTTCTTCAATCCATATAAGTACCTCATATGTTCAGGGCACTGTACTAGGTTTTTGCCCACTTAGTTTACCTCTTAAGGTCTTTGGATTACTGAAAATATTGGAGGCATAATGACTTGTTTTGCAGTACTTCCTCACTTTGGGACCTTGGATGATTTGACTTTATTGAGCTTCATTCTTTATCTACAGAAGAAAAGGGGATAACTGAAGTACCTATTGCATTGGGTGGTAATGATTCAATGACATAATGCATGTGAATAGTAAAATATTCAGAAGAGCACAGAATAAGTGCTTAAATGCTACTGTTATTTCTGCAGTTAATCTGCTCTTATTCTCTTTCTTCACTTTGCCTATTCCTATTCTTTCTTCAGGTCATAGATCTGCCCTCATCTTTCTTATAGGAAGTCCTCCTCTGGAAACATTCTCTCAATGATTGCTTTGTTTCCTAGGTTCTAAAGTATTCTAGAATTAGAAAATAGATAACAATACTGCCAATTTCATAGAGTAATTAATAGAAGTACGCTTCAGTATTTATCATTATTCTATCTCAGGCACTCTGGGACCACAGGCTTGTAGCTTTCTAGATTGTGTTCTTTCCTAGTAGTTTATTTAGAGATGCACAAGGTGACCAAGATTAACAGAGCTTCATCTGTGTTCTTGGGCCTACTGTCATATTTTAGAACTGTTTAAAAGTCAGAGATCATCATAACCAAAGCCTGAAGTATAACAGGTCTGCGTTGGGCAAAAATTTCCAAATCCATTAGGATTTAAGTACCAGTGACATAAATAAGGAAGCATAACTATATGTCAAGAGAGTCCCAGTTATTGCCTTTTGCTTTCTGACAAAAAACTCAATGCTAGGAACAAAGAATTATCTACACTGAAAATTTGCTATCAAGCCTGGTTTCCAGGCTCTTTTAAAGATGGATGGAAGGATGAAAATGAAGAAAGTCCTTTGTTTCTCAGCACCTGGCCTCTACAATTTGAACTATAGCCCCAGGAAAAATACAGACCATAGAGCTGAGGAGTCATCACAGAACTATCTAGAGCTGAGTTGTCTTATACCCGGGTTATTTAAAACTAGGGCCTTCTTTATCATTTTTTCTGCAGAGATAAAAACTCCCCTAATCTGCATGTAGTCACTGCCAATCTCTGTTCTGCTTTGCCATTTCTGGGTCTCTCTCTCTCTCTCTCTCTCTCTCTCTCTCTCTCTCTCTCTCTCCCTCTCCTTCCCTTCCTCCCTCCCTCCCTCCCTCTCTCTCTCCCTCTCTCGCTCTCTCCCTCTCTCCCTCTCTTTCTCTCTTTCTGGTCAGACCTTTACTAGGTTTGCCCCAAGAAAGGTTAGGCTCTCAGCAAAAAATGGGCACCCCTGTTATGCTCAGGGAACATGGAATCCAAGGAAGAACATCTGAATCAGCCAAACTTCAATACCACAATGGTACCAATTCTTTCCCTGACATTTTGCTTCAGATGGAAAATTGGAAAGAAGGGTTTTCAAATGGCCCTGCACTTTCTTAAAGGTCATGTTCTACAAGAGCACCATGGGCAGTAGAGCAATTTACACTGAGTTCATACATCCAGAAAATAGTAAAAATGTGCCTTGGAGGTTTCCATGGTAACCATATTTGCTTATAAAATAAAACCGGTAAATACAGGGATGGCAAAGTGATTCCAGGAACTTGATTAGAAAACTAGGCTAGGCAGACTCACAGGACAAAAGAGAGACTTGATTGTTAACAACAACAATATCATCTCCACTTATCTATTTGGCAGTTATAAAAAATAAGTAACCATCATTGCAAATAAATACTAAAGTATGGCAGCCTATAATTTCTTCTTATTTTCGTTACTCAGTCTGTTCTCTTTACAGAATGTTACATGGAAAAAAAGTTTAACAGTAATGCTATGAACTAGAGTTCAGTGTCAGAAAGTGTTATGTCCTGGGTGATGAGTTACCTTCAAGTTGCCTTAATTCTCAAGGACAGCATGATAGGGCAGAAATTTTACTTGACTTCAAGTTCTGGATATATCATTTAGTTTGTAATCCTTAGGAAAATTAATTCCCTTAACTGGTAATAAAAGGGCTAGTAATATCTACTTTGCAGGACTGGGCATATAGTGCAGCAGAACAGATCTTGCCTATCATGTGGAAAGCCCTGGGCTTCATCCCTAGCAATCATCATCATCATCATCATCATCATCATCATCATCGTCGTCGTCGTCATCATCATCATCACCATCATCATCATCTTCTTTTTCATCATCATCATCATCATCATCATCATCATCATCATCATCATCATCGCAAATAAGGGTGTAGTTCAATTCCAGAGAGCTTGCTTAGCATATATGAGACCCTGGCTTGAATCTCTAGCATCACATACACACACACAAAAAGATTATACTGTGACTCTTTCAGACTATGACAAAGCTCAGTAGGTAGAATGTTTTCCTATCATGAGCAAAACACACACACACACACACACACACACACACACACACACACACACACAGACCTTGTTGATTTAAAGATCAGTTAGGCAGTGATGATCACTACTCCTGCTTATATACTTGCTGGATTAAAGAGACTGGAGTTTTGTTATAAGAAACTCAGGGAGGCTTTTTCATTTCCATATTGAAAATACAATAATGAGACATCCTAGAGGGTGTAAAGATGCTAATTGCCCTCCAGACACTCAAGCCAAATGCCAAAAATCTGTAGTGTATACCAAAAAGTTTACCTTTTTTTGAGCTAGCTCATAATCAACTTCCTCCTCACCCAGGCCAATTTCTGCTATTTCTGGTTGGTCTTTTAACTTGTTCAGCAGCTCTGCTTTGGCCACAGAAATATTGTAATAAGCTGAATAAGAGGTAGGGATTCCTGGAGCTCCTGGAGGGGGTGAGACGTGCTGAAACTCTTGCCTGTGGAAACAGTGATCATTTGAGAACCTTTGTTGAGAGGTTGCTGACCTTTCTTCTTTAATTTCCCCATTTGCAAAATAGTACACTGACTTATCAAAGTGTTGTAAAATAGTAATATTGATCATGATGATAAAATAATGATTCAGTTGTCACTACTCAAACATAGACAGGTCACATGGATGTCCAGAAGCCTGGTAAAGGGAAACTTCAAGAATCTGGAGGGCTATTTCCATGCCCCCAAATTTAGCAGCCAGAGAGACTTCTTTAGAGATAATTTGGTTTGATCAATAATGTCCCATTATAATCCAGAAAAAAAAAATAGCAGGCCATGAAAATTCTAGGCTTCTGTTCATCATAAATTCTGCTTGGTTCATGATACCAGTGTATGAATACCAAAGGAGGGACTAGGTGGAAAAACATCTAAGGTTTTAGTGATCAGTCTTCTAAGCTTGTTGGCCTTCTTCTTACCCATCCACATACCTCTACCTACCCTGTGTCTATCTAAGTGATTTGCTTGTAAAGGTATCCTATGGCTTTCCTGGACACTCATTTCTTCTTTCCTGGTGCCACTTCTGCTTAGAATGGCCCCTCCACTGAAGTTCCCCAGATCAAAGAGGTCACTTATGATCTCAGCTATGATCCCCATGTTGGAGGCTGGGTTTGGAACCTGTGGCAGGGACCTGTCAGTGACCTCTCATGAGCTCATCTGAGACCGGCTGCTGTACAGTAGTACTTCATCCTAAAAAGAGATAATACCTTTCTACTTCTGGCATATACCCAGTGACACAAGACTCCTGCATAGTTGTAAAATGAAATGGGAACAATTGAACCAGTGACACATATAGAGGCTTGACAAATATAGCAACAGACCTTGTTGCCTTGGGTTCACCAAAGTCTGCAGGGCCAAGGCGTTGTTTCTCAGAGCCCCAACCCATCACAGTGAATTTCTCCTCAGGAAAGAAGTAGCTCTGGCTCCATGGTGGCTTGGATTTGGATCCTCCTGCCAGGGATATTTCTGATCTGGTGGGAAGAAGACAGCAAAGAGAAATATTACAATGTCAGGTTTCAATGATGGAGAAAAAATAGTTCCACTCAGTTTATATAAGATAGAAGCCCAAACTAATATTCTCTTTATGTACCAGCCACCCTCACCCTCCACCTATTTTTGTCATTATCCTTCTGTTAAGCTCTAGTTGTTTGAAAGGAAAAATAAGAGAAATTCAGTCATTCTTGCAGCTCTATGCAACTCTTAGATAAAGGTTAAACACAACAGTTAAAAGGCTCCACAGCTATTTCTTGATTGATGCTGTACAGTCTCCTGATTTACCACACATCATCCCATGCCCATCCTAGGTAAATTGATGTAACATGTAAGGTTTCAAGCTTCTAACATTGATGGACAAATAATACTAGCTGATATTCACACAGTCCTTGTCATGTCTTAGAAACCATCCTATGATAGATATAAGCATGTGTGTGCATGCATGCACATGAACACACAAACGGATTTGGGAATATAGATGTTTAATTGAATGCTCATCAAAACCACTGAGCAGATGAGAAACACAAGTCTTCAAGAAGTAAAGTGATTATCCCAGGGTCGCAGCTAGTATATTTTACACACATAATTTCTACCTGGGCAACACAACTCCATAGTTTGCACTTTGAGCCATTATGCAATATTAACAGAGGGACAAAATGATATACATAAAACACCTATAATACTTTAGGTGTAAAGAATTTTCTGGAATATCTATTAGATAAGAAAGAACATTCTGGGAAGAATAAGAAGATATGAACTCAGTGAATTCTGATCTACAAGAAAAATATTTATGGTATGTATGAATGATTGAATCAGAAATTATAAAGGAAAAATGATGCCATTGGAGATTGAGTTCCTCAGCAGGCCCAGTCGCACATCATATTGTAGTGGGTCATACTAGGCACTATGCTCTAGGGTGCTTTCCTTATCACCACTATGAACAGGAAAGCAATCACAAGAAATTTATGAAAATACAAGCAGAATTTAAAAGTGAATGTCAAAGCAAAAGTCAAGAGTCCTTCCATAGTGCACTGACAAGAAGTACATACAACCCATAAAGCAAGCTACACCTATACTTGATCAGTTATTAGATTTGAACAATAATTTAAAATTCTGCTATCCTAGTTATATATGTACTTTAAACATTATGTTGCTACTTAAGTTGGATGAAATTTGGAAGTCTTTGTTTGCATTTTAGGTTTAAAATATTATACATATACCTACCCCTAACACCATTCCTCTTTACAGAGTAATAAAGTTGTGTCTTCCAGTTGTGTACACATCTAGGGTATACAATAGAATGTTATTTAAGGTCCCAGAGACTGTGACACAATGTGTAGGCATAATGAATCAGACTACCTGGGTTCTTGTTGCCTGTGATCCTATGATAAAGTTACACTTTGTCCTTTGACCTTACTTTTTCTTGTCTAAAACATGGAGGATAATAAATAGAACTATTCCACAGGTTCATTATGGAGATTCCATTAATACAAATGGCCCTCAACTTACAGTGGAGGTATATCCCAATAAAGCCACCATAAGATGAAAATATCATGATTTGAAAAATATTGAGTACAGCTAACCTACCAAACATCACAGCTTAGTAACAGAATACACTGTTCCTCTTAAGATCATGTGGCTGCCTGGGAGATGTGTCTGCTGCTGCTACCTGGTGTCCTGGGAGAGTACTGTTCTATAATTCATTCTTTAGGCAAGGAAAATATCAAAATGCAAAACTGGAAGTATGGCTTTTGAAGAATGTATACTGCTTTTGTACTATGTGGATAAAGTAAAAGAAAAGTTCTAAGTTGAACCATTGTTATATCAGACACTATCCATGAAAATGCTTAGAACAATATATAGCCCATAATTGGTAAAAATGTTAGCTATGTTGGGAATGATGTTGATCTTTAAATCCCTATCACTCAAGTGACTATAATTGATTTTTTAGGCAGAAGCCAGAGTCTTTGTAAACACTTTTTCTCACATCTTCTTGCTATTAAAATAATCTCTGGAGCAGCTAACAAGCTCTCTAACAATAGTAATTTCCTTCTTGTGGCCAGCATGCAAAGATGGATGGAGGGACATAAAGAAGGGAGGTTCAGGGCCCATAACTGAGACCTCTGATGTGATCCTATAGCAGAAATGTTTCCTGAAGACCTGGTCCATTGGAAGAACAGATATGCTGTGAGAACGTCTCTTGAAGAAGGAAAGAAAATCAAAGGATAGAGAATCATGTCTAGTTTTGAATCCTTGAGGTTTAACATTGAATAAGGTAGTCCTTTTTGTTTGTTAAACTTTAGTTTCTTCAACTGCCAAAGGAAATAATAATGGCCAACAGGAGTGCTGGGAGCACTAAATAAAATAATAGATATAAAATTCCTAGCAGTGTCTAGCACACAATAAATGCTTAATAAATTTTCATTCACTCATTTATTCACCCATTTATACATTTTTTCTTCTGAAATATTAGTTAAGTATCTAATATGTGCCTGGCCACTTTCCCTTCTATCTGTGATGCATAACAATCATAGTTACTTTCCATAAAACATTTTCTAACAAAACATTGCATTTTTTTCACAAATAAGAATGGTTCTCAGAGTGATTTCAGACAGCTTGAGAATCAGCTATACGTAATCTGGTAAAGTACTGTCACAATACTTGGAAGGTAGGCCCTGAAAATGCTTTCAAACTTTGTGGCAGCTGGATGTGGTATCACAGACCTATAATTCCAACACTTGGGAGGCTGAGGCAGGAGGATAACTGTGAGTCTGATGACAGCTTGAGATACATAGTGAGTTCAAGGCCAGACTGAAATACAAACCAAATCTTGTCTCAAAGAGGCTTGTGGCACCTCATACGGTAAAATTGTTTGATCTGGTACAGATAGTCAGGTAATAAGATTTGCCTGTCAGTAATGTACACAACAACAAAGTACTTCTAATAGCAACAAAGCCTCAGGCAACTTTGTTTTAAAAGGGTTTAAAGAAAACACTTAGAAGACAGACCCCTGTTTGTTGCTCTCAGCCCCAATAGAGAATAGGGGTAGCTCTCTGCAGAAGGGAAAGCAGAGATGAGACCAAAGCACTAAGGAATGGTAGTCTGGAGGTTTTGCTCCGGGGTAAAAATGACAACCAGGCATTGTGCTCGAGAAGGTTCACAGAAGCACTGGCACAGCCAAGTTACAAAGACCTGCACTGTCATGCCAGATGTCTTGCTTTGACCTCTCTGTGAAATGCAGAGGCAGCGAACCAATGAGGGGGCAAAAGTAAAAGAGATAAAGATTGATGTTAGCTATTTCAAGGAATTGTCAGGGCAAAAACAACTGCTTTTAGGAATATCTTTGATGCTGAGCTGGGACAGTTTAGAGGCCCATGTTACTTAGCTGAGAGAAGATTGGCAAACTAGGTTGCCAGGAAAGACTACATAAACTAGGTTTCTAATAGAGACCAGTACAAGTAAAATGGGTTTGATAAGCTTACACTTCTGGGGTCAAGAACTCGTTATTGATACATACCTTCAAGAAAAACTGAAAAATAACACTATTATAATGATGATATGTAAGGATAAGAACATTGACAATTTCCATTTACTGAGCATCTACTATATGCTAAGCATGTAGTTTTGTTCTTTGCATAGATTATATTCACAACAACCATGCAGAATACGTATTACCACGTAAGAATCCTGTGCTTAGGAGTGATTTAACAGCCCGAAGTCAGGCAGCTAGTAAATAGTGATCTCCTGCTGCCTAGATATTCAGTGTGTCTGTCACAAACACTTACTTGGAGGAATCAGTATGTTCCTGTTCTGAAGTCCTCCAAAGTCCACCCATGCCATAATAGCAAGGGGGCTGTGCCTGCTCGCTTTGAGATCCCAGGTGGCTCCTTATTGGAGGCAGGAAATCACTAGAATGGACAGCAAAAGACTCTTGGTCTGATGGGCTTTGTGAGCCCTGTCTTGAGGCCTCCAGGTGGTCAAGGCTCAGAGGTTGTGGCTGCTCAAGGACCTCTTTAGGATTGAGAGCACAGAAACCAATAGTTTCTGAGCTAAAATACTGAGGTGGCAACTCCTCTTCTCCCTCCTCTTCCTGTTCCTCTTCATCTTCTTCTTCTTCCTCTTTTTGCTGCTGCTGCTGCTTCTGCTGCTTCTGCTGCTTCTGCTGCTGCTGCTGCTGCTGCTGCTGTTGTTGTTGTTGTTGTTTCTGCTGCTGCTGCTGCTGCTGCTGCTGCTGCTGCTGCTGCTGCTGTTGCTGCTGCTGCTGCTGCTGCTGCTGCTGCTGCTGCTGCTGCTGCTGCTGCTGCTTTTGCTGTTGGGCTTCCCGGAAGAGCCTGTACTTTTCCCAGTTGGGAGGAGGAGGACGAGGAGGAGGAAACGCCTTCTTCCTGACTACAACAGGATCAGACTGTGTTTCATCACCTTTGGTAACGAGCTCCCTCCGATGCTGCACCCAAGAACGGGTGTTCTGAGGCTCCAAACTGATGTGACTCTCTGAGAAGGCACGGTTACGCAGTGGGTGGGGCATGGAGGGAAGTGAGCATTCCTCCTCATAAACTGAAGTTCCTTTTGTTTTTTTCAAGGTATGTTTGAAGTCTCCAAGGAGGTCAAGAGAAGAAATTGCACGGTGGCTTACGTCCAGGGCTGGGTTCTCTAGGCAGGAATGGAAGGGGGCTGCCCATGAAAAGTTGGCCTTGGAATGAGCCATATCCCTGTAAAAAAGCAGATGAGGTTTGTGTAAGATAAAGAACTCTGCAGGTGGGTCTATATTTTGGATAACATCCCTTACATACAATTTAAAGTGAACATAAAACATTTGAATTTATGTAATAATTACACTAGTTGCAGTAATAATAATCACAATAATAATAATGATAGCTAACACTTATTATGCATATAATAAGTACCAGAAACTATTTTGAATCCTTTTAATATCTTATTTAAACTTTGCAATGACCTTAGGAGGTAGATATGCATCTTATTTTATAGTTAGGGAAACTGGAGCAGAGGTTAAATAATTTGTCTAAGGTAATGAGGCTAATTACTGGTAGAGCTAGAATGTGAACTTGAGCTCTCTCACTCTGAAGTCTAGATACATACACACTGACCTAGTCTGTTCATAGCACTCAGATTAGATGTGCTATATTTGGGGGTTTACAGCCCAGCTGTTGTACCTTATCTGTTATTTTTGTCTGATTTTTAATTAGGAGAAATTTAAAATATTTATAAAGGTATAGCTATTGCCATAATAAATGCCCATCTTCTCACCTACTAGTCAAAATTAGTACATTTTAATACATTGCCATCTATGCTTCATACATTTTATTAATAAAAATAATATAGTCCCTTTTGTATCATTCTTCAACTCCATTCCCCTTCTTGCCTATTTAGATGCAACCTGTATTACAAATTATATAGAAATACTTTCTATGTTCTCATACTTGTAGGAAAAATATCAAGCAGATCACTCATAAATACCTGCTACTTAGATTTAAAGTATCTTCTAATAAAGTTCCAATCAGTAGTCTCAACATAAAATTTATAACTATACATTTTTTTAAAGTTACCTTGCAAGAACAGGCAGGATATTATATTAAAGAATGTTCTGCTATTGAAGAAATAAAGAAGAGGAAAAGAAAAATATTAAGCATGTTATAGAACAATTATAATTAAAAGTATGTTATTGATTAATAGAATAGAAAGTCTAGAAACCAAACTGTCTATAGAAAACATCAGATAAATCTTCCAAAAGGAGAAAATAAAGTATTCAAGAAATCTTTTTGAGATAACTGTAGAATAGTGCTATTTGGCACTATACCCTATATTATATATCAAAATAAATTCAGGATCAATACCGATGGATGTATGTACATATAATTTTAATGTACAATGTATGTACATATATAAATATTATGAGCATATATTTGTATATAATATACTTAGAAAAACTATCAGAAACATTTAAGATTATTACTTGGGAGGCAAAGTTCTCTTGTAATGGAAGAAAACATCCGAGGAAAAAGTCCCTGTTCATTTAAATATGTATAAAATGTTAATCTTCTATATAATAAAGTTAAAAGACATTGCTTTTGCTCCAGAATATAAATGGTTAAGCCCTCTGAGCCATAAAATCTGGTTTCCTGCTGTAGCCTCTGAGCAATCAACATCATGCTAAGTCCTCGCCAGTGACAGGAAATTCCAAGGGCTCCGTTAGATCATCGCACAGAACATTCACTCAATAGTTGATGATGACTACTGAGCATAATTCTTTTAAAATAACATAAGCTGGGGTGGGTGAAAGGAGAAAACAAGGAAGGGAAAATAAATGGGTAGATAGATACTAGGTAAAATAATTATACTACTAATTTCAATTAGTTCATTGAAAAGAATGGGTTGTACTTTCATTGTTTGATCAATTTTGCACGCCAATAACTTGCAATCTGAACAACTACTCTGAAGATAACTATATGCAATATATTAACCAATGTCAATATCCTACTACCTTGTTTTGAAATTCTTTGCCATTTTTAATAATTTTTCAATAAAATAAAAATAATAATATATGTAATAGTAGAAGGAATTTTTTTTGACTAGCTCAGGCTGCCTTAAGGGCAGGTCTGGTGCAGCTTGTGGAGCTGGGGATTGAACCGCAGTCCCCTGTGCCTGACGAATTTACCCAAGCAGGCACTTTAAACAACTGAGCCAACCTACAAGCCCCCTAATATATGTAATAGTAGCCAAGCACAGAGAAAATGGAAAGTAAAATATCTTTCCTCCCTTTATTTCAGATCCCCTGCAAGCTAGCTCATCACTCACATGGATCAGAAATTCACATTCAGACATCTCCACTCTCTTCTCACATGGGTCTTAGTCTACCTATAGATGCCCTGTGCACACTCTCCTCAGGAAGAAGAATCCTTTATGTGTAATGTGTAAACTCTTCTACCTGGCACAGTTCTCAGGAAAAGTAAAAACAAAAAGTAGTGAGTGGAAAGTAAAGGATAATAAATGTATGCGAGGCAGAGAGGTCTTTCCTGATTAGCCTATCTAACATAGTGATTACTTCTTAATTATTGTTAGTCTACTTGGCTTTTCTCTGAGCATTTTCTCCTTCTCTGATATTATATCATAGGTCTATTTTTACATGTTTTGTGTTCTACTCTTTGAAATGTAGGTTTCACAAGGGTAAGGATCTTGCTTATCCAATTGGTCTAGTGACTAATGCACAGTAGGTCTTTGATGAATATTTGTTATATATATATATATATATATATATATATGCACAAAATTTTAACAAAGTATGATATTCCCCTTATAAAAATATTTCAGAAAGAAAAAAGCAATAAATAAGACACAGATTGTGATATACCTACTCTGAAACTTTATATACCAAAGCAACACATCAAAATTAATAAAGCAAAATGTATAGCAGGGAAAAGCAAAAAATAAAATGTAACCCTATTTCAATTGATTACAGACTGTGCTGGTTGAAAACTAAGATAATGAACAAATATAAATTTCTTCATACATTTGTCTCGAACCAGCGGGTCAGTCAACGAAGGTCACCTGGGGGAGGAGCGGGGAATTGAAGAGGGGACAAAGGACAGCAGACTCGAGAAATGGAGACAAGACAGGATTCTGATCAAGTCTCGTTTTATTTAGGGGAGGAGCTGGGTATATATAGTGGAGGCATAGGGAAATGACGTCTGTGGGTAAAAGGCACGAGTAACTAGGCAACCGGGCTATGATAGGAAGTCTCACCTCATGGGCATAGCAGGAGGCTTATGGGAAATAGACGGGGTAAGAACTAGGAACCTAGCTCAGCAGAGGTAGGGGAGGAGGAAGTCAGAAATCCACTTGCAGTAGGGTTGGAGGCCTAGAGTTATTGTGCGTCCCACGTACATTAAGATCAAAATGATCAAAATAGCTACGTCCATGTACAAATGTGCCAAAATGAAACATATTGATCTATACAACCAATATACACTAAAAAAGGCCACGAAACAAAAAGGCTACACTTTCTTTTCAAGAGCTAACTGGGGGCCAGCCAAATAGTTCAGTGATTTAAAGGGTCTCCTTAGGCAGAGCACAGCAGTCTGGGCATGTAGTGCTGGCCCTGCCCCCAGGGAACGCTGAGACAGTGATTGAGATGGTGTGGTGGTGCACACCTGTAATTCCAGCACTTAGGAGGCTGAAAACAGGAAGATCACTATGAGTCCGATCTGTGTAGTGAGACTCTGTAGACCCTGCACTAAATACATGAAAAAAAAAAGCTCTCAAGGGCTAATGGAATATTTTAAAAATTGACAACATATGGAGCCAGAAACTAGAAGCAGTACTAAAAAGTTCTCTAACAAAATAACATTGGAAATTAATAACAAATATAAAAGATAGCAATTTCCAGCCTGTAGAAAACAGACAGGGGAAAAATATCATCCAGATTAGCAAAAGAGGAAATCTAATCTGAAATTTTAGAATACCCAGAAAATAACAACAGTGAAAATACTAGAAGCTAGAGGATGTGACAGGCTAATTGCAGTCCAAAACACACTGATACAAAAGAACCAATTAACCTCAAAACTCCACTAAGAACTGCTAGATCTAATAAATTCAGTAATATAACTGGATACAAAGTTAACAGTCAAAAATCAATAGCCTCCCTGTATATGAACAATAAACTCACTGAGAGAAAAATTAAAGTAAAACCGTCTTTCACAAAAGCATGAAAAAGAAAGAAAAACCTAGGAATCAATCCAACCAAGGATGTAAAAGACCTCTACATCGAAAACTGCATACTCTGGAAAAGGAGATTGAAGCAGATAGTAGAAAATGGAAAGATATTCCTTGCTTTTGGGTAAGAAGCACCAGTATAGTGAAAATAGCAATACTTCCAAAACTGTTAGACAGATTTAATGCAATTCCAATAGTATATCTCACAGAATTTGAGAAAGCAATCCTAATATTCACGTGTAATCAGAAGAGATCTAGAATAGCAAAGGCAATTCTAGGCAAGAAATGAGGCAGAAAGCATTATGATCCCTGAATTAAAATTAAAATAAAAATGAAATCAAAATATAAATTTACTATGATAAAAAGTGCAGTGTTCATACACACACACACACACCCAGACATGAAGATCAATGGAACAGATTATAAGATGCAGAAACAACTCCAGATATATGCAGCCACCCTATCTTTGACAGAGGTCCTAAAAACTTTCACTGGAAGAAAGACAGCCTCTTTAATAAATGGCACTAGAAAAACGGACTCTGCACACGCTGAAGAATAAGACTGGACCCGGATCTTTCACCATCCACTAAACTAAATTTGAAATAGACCAAAGATCTAAGTATTAAAATAGAAACATTATGTCTGATGGATAGGTAAAACTCTTGAAAAAAATTGGTGTAGGCAAAAACTTTATGAATAAAAACCAGATTACAAAGGAACTATCACAAACAATCAACAACTGGGATCTCATGTTGTCCAAAAGCCTTTGCACAGCAATGGAAACTGCCAGCAGAGTGAAGAGACAGCCCACAAGATGGGAAAAAAATGTTTGCCAGTTGTTCCTCAGACAAAGGATTACCATCAAGAACATATAAAGAACTAAAAAGAGAAAAAAGGAGACCTTCAAACTTGAAAGACCCTATCCACAAATGGGCATCTGCGGTGAAGACCCACTTCTCAGGTGAAGAAATACAGACAGTAA